GACATCAGTCTGTGCTTCACAAGATACAACCTCAACATCTGTAGCTCTGTCAAGGACATCAGTCTGTGCTTCACAAGACACAACCTCAACATCTGTAGCTCTATCGAGGACATCAGTCTGTGCTTCACAAGACACAACCTCAACATCTGTAGCTCTATCGAGGACATCAGTCTGTGCTTCACAAGACACAACCTCAATGCCTGTAACTCTATCGAGGACATCTGTCTGTGCTTCACAAGACACAACCTCAACATCTGTAGCTCTATTGAGGACATCAGTCTGTGCTTCACAAGACACAACCTCAACATCTGTAGCTCTATTGAGGACATCAGTCTGTGCTTCACAAGACATAACCTCAACATCTGTATCTCTATCAAGGACATCTGTCTGTGCTTCACAAGACACAACCTCAACATCTGTAGCTGTATTGAGGACATCAGTCTGTGCTTCACAAGACACAACCTCAACATCTGTAGCTCTGTCGAGGACATCAGTCTGTACTTCACAAGACACAACCTCAATGCCTGTAACTCTATCGAGGTCTTCAGTCTGTGCTTCACAACAAACAACCTCAATGCCTGTAACTCTATCGAGGTCTTCAGTCTGTGCTTCACAACAAACAACCTCAATGCCTGTAACTCTATCGAGGTCTTCAGTCTGTGCTTCACAAGAAACAACCTCAACATCAGTAGTTTCTGCTTTTCTTTTATTATTTAACAACTGCTCTTCAATTCCAGGAATGTTACTTATACATGTTTCTTGGTTTTGATTAATTTGTTTCATTAGCTCTTTCATTTCAAACTCTAGATCTTCCACAGTTTTTCTCAAAAACGTATTTTCTTCTTTCAAGGCAACATTTTGTGATTTACTCATCAAATCTTTCACTTGTCCTTGAAGCTCACTATTTTCCAAATGATAAGTTTTTATCTGTTCATTCAGATGCTTGATTTCTTCGTCGTACTTTCTTACCCTTTAGAAAGTAAACCATAAATTATGAATATTGCTTATAAAGTTTTAGCACTTACAACCATATGGACAAGAAAACATTCTTAATATAAGTATACTAAATCTTAGACTAGTTAATAAATCAAGAATTTTAGCAATAAAAAGCCTGTGAAAATCAAATCCAGCTGAATGCTTTTGAGAACACATCAACCTCCTTTTCATGCTTAAGTAAACACTCTTTAACTTACCCTTAAGCCACATTATGAACATAGAGTATTTTTTAATGATTAGGAAATTAATAAACGTTCATGGTTTCTCCAGCTATATTTACTGGATGAAGTTAGAAAATGTCTGTGATATCCATAAATGGCAAGAATTTCTCAACCCAATCCAAATGCAAGGGTTTGAATTATTCAAAGCCTAAGAGGGACAAAGCTCTTATTTCCAAACATTAATGTAAGACTTTTCCAACAGAGGTCTCTTCCAATGCAGTTAAACCAAAATTCTTCTAATTTTTTTCACCCATAAAAACAAAGTTAAATTTCTGAAATTTCAAAATAATATTATCAGTTAGTTTTCCCGATTTTATTTTCCATTTTGACATGGTTTATATTTTACAAATTTTATATCCTGTACAGCCATAAACTCACTGAAACCACACTAGCATACTGTACAGAATATTCATGAATACTAGACTGAAGAACATTCGTTTGTATTTTTTTATAAACTTTATTGTAATATGCTAAGGTAGGTTTCTTTTTTTTGGTACCAATTTGCTGTAATGTTTTAATATGATTTAATGTTACGCTTAGTTAAATATAACAACTAAATATTAGGCTTGGTTAAATATAACAACTAAATATTAGGCTTGGTTAAATATAACAATTAAATATTAGGCTTGGTTAAATATAATAATTAAATATTAGGCTTGGTTAAATATAATAATTAAATATTAGGCTTAATTGAATATATGTATTCCACACCACCACCACCACATCTTGATTAAAAATTAAGGAAATAAAATTGAATATAGTTGATTCTGATGACAAAATTATATTTCTTCTTTAGCACAGAACTAATTCTACGAGAAGTAATGTATTGTACAAATTTTACTTTTAAAATCTGGGGAAGTTTAACCTACAACTTACAAGGGCCACTTATAAAAAATAAACAGCAAGATAACGAAATCTTCAAATTAAATATTATATTTATTCAGCCAAACATAGTATCAGCGTTATTAAGCTATAATATGCAAACTTTTTTAGAATCCTTACGGACTCTACGGATCCACAACCTACAGTTTGAGCTCCTCAACTCTAGCCTCGTTCTCTAACACTACGAGTTACTGCTCGTCTACGTTTGATAAATATTGTTTGAATGTATTAATAACAAATACTATTAGTCTTACCTACTGAAAGTTAGTGGTACTCCTCCCTCAAATTTTGCCAAATCGTTATAAGCTTCTTGGAGTTGAGAAACCAGTTCGGTCTCCTTTCTTTGCCAGTTAGTTCGCTCCAATTCCAAGAAGAATTCATAGTCGCTTCTTTCGTTTTCTAAAAAGCTAAGTCTCTCACCATTTGTTTTCTGTAATGAGAGACAATAATATGTATAAGTGTTAAAATAAAAATTAGTTACAATTATTGCTCCGACAAATGTTTGCATTTCCAAATTCCAACTTAGAATAAGAAGATCAAGCAAATTAAGGTTAAATTCGACACTAAATATTTTTTTAATAACATATAATCAGACACTTTTTAGGAAAATAATGGCAGTAAAAAATAAAGTTGAAATAAAAGACAAAAATACAATATTTACATAAGATTTTGTAATCTATGAAAATACGAAGTGCCCAAAAATTTTGGAAAAATCAT